ACCGCTCTTTCTTTTTCAGCCTTTTCCTGCACTAACCCCTGACATTGGATTTTGAGCTTCTCAACTTCATCCTCAGTAAATCTATCTTTTTTCTCCATTTCTACCACTTTCAACCTCAACCCATTCGCCTCCTCAGCAAGACCATCAAAATCACTCTTCACCACATCCCTTTCCCAGCACACTCGGTTCAACTTTACCTTCTCATTTTCAAGGCTACCCATAAGCTCATTCATTTCCCTCTTCAAAAAAGCAATCTCAGTATCTCTCTCGCTCTTCGCCCTCTCAATCTCAACCTGCTCTTTCACCATTTGACCCATCTGAGCCAGAACAAAAACACAAAAAACACTCTTTTCCAACTCCAAGCCAACATTTTCCTCACTCTTCCCAGTCAACTCACTCTCCAACAACTTACTTTCCACACGAAACCTAGTCAACTCAGATTCCAAACCCTCCTTGGCCTGCATCAAAGACTCAACTTGTTGCCTGCGATCAAAGGTCTCCTTGAGGAGCAGAGAGTTGAGGGACTTGAGGTTCTGAACCTTCTCTGAAGGCTCATCCTTGGCGGTGGCTTGGTGGGTATTGTTCTGAACCTTCTCTGAAGGCTCAACCTTGGCGGTGGCTTGGTGGGTATTGTTCTGAACCTTCTCTGAGGGCTCATCCATGGTGGTGGCTTGGTGAGTATTGTGGCTTTGGGACTGATGAGCTTCGTGTTTGGTGTCTTTAGGTTGGTGGGTCACTTTCTTTTTTGCCATTTTGTGATGCTGTTGTGATGGGAAATGTGGGATTGAGGATTAGAGTATTAGGGTTTTCTAGGGTTCTTATGGTTGAGATGTGGGGTGGGGGAGATATTTAAAGAGATAGGGATTTTGAGAGACAGAAGAGAGAGAGAGAACTGTTTAAATGTTTAAATGTTTTGGGGGGATGGGTTAGGTTTTAAAATTTGGGGCCCAGGCCCTCTGGCCCAGAGCTTGAATAAATCCTAGAAAATTGGAAAATTGGAAATTGAAACTGGAAGATAGAAAGATGGGGCTGACTGTTGGGTGGGGGGATGCTCTTCTAATTTTTGTTTTGTTTTATTCTTGATTTTATTTTGCTGTTTGGAGCCCTATCTTACAGCCACGTGTCTCGGTTTATTCATATGCTTCACTTTTAAACGGTCCGGTGCTGAGTGCTGCTCACAACGTCGCTTTCTGTAGTAAACAATGATTTCTTTTTCTATTTCATGCATTTATTAATACATGAAGTTTTTGAGAAGTGTTCAAATTCCTGATTCTAATTGTGTTTACTAATAAAAGAATGCCTAAATTTCAAAATAATGAATTAGGTAGCCTACTTGATTTCATAGTCATTCCTTTTCTATATTCTTGATTTTCCCACATTTATAACTTTTTTAAATAAAAAAAACTTTTCTTATCGAGAAGGATGATAATATACTAAATTCACACACTGCACAGATATTAAGAATCAAACTCAGGACCTTTCCTAAGAAAACAATTGCTCTAAATTACTACACTAGTGAGTCATTTACAATTTATAACTTTTTAAAACTAAAGTAAGGAAAAATGTTATAAATAATTGGGTTATGTTGTATGAATCAATTCATATGGTACATATTTAATTATTTTATACTAAATCTGTGCTTATTTTATGATAAACTTATTATTAACGGAATATTCTTTAATAAGTATTTGATAAAAATATGCAACCAATACTTGAGATAAAATAGTTAATGGAGAGAATCTCCTATTATTGACTAATAAATAGATTTCTCTCTCTGTTTGATGGTTTTGGACTTGGAGGAGCAAAGATGCTGGGAAGAGTCCTTTGGATGTTGATCACTGTAACTGGACTTCTGCTAAATCCTGTGGAAGCTCAACCTCACAGAATTCTTGTAGACACTGATGTGAATATAGATGATGTTCTTGCTCTGTTTTATCTCTTGAAGCAAAATAACACAGAGTTCGATTTGAAGGTTTATTCTTTTTCCTTTTAAGAACATGGATATAATTATTTGCACCTTCTGCGTTTCATTCTGGAATATTATAAATCTTCCTCTTTTAGTTTCACGAAATTGAACGTGATTGGTGTTTTATGATCAATTCTGGTCTGTGTCACTCTACAATCTGAGAAAAGCCTCTTTCTTTTAGCTGCTTCAAGCCTGTTTGAGATGGGTTGTGAAGAAATGATGCGTCCTCTCTCAAGTTGAAAATTTTGGAATCAAATGAAAGTTCATGATGCACCATTTTTATGAACTATAAGCTTATATGCATAGATATGTCCATGGTGATTGATTGAAAATTTGTAACTGAGGTTGCCGCAGGCAATTACTATTAATGCAAATGGGTGGAATGATGCTGGGCACGCTGTTAATTATTTGTATGACATTCTTTTTATGATGGATCGCGACGATGTTCCTGTTGGTGTTGGAGGTGAAGGTGGCATTTTGCCTAACGGTACCATCCTTCCAAATGTTGGGGGTTATCTTCCCATTATTGACCAGGTGCGTGTGTCTAATCAGAAACTGTTCAACAAAAAATAGAGACTTAACCAATTGTTTAACCCTGAAATCTTTAATGTCTTGTTATGAGTTCTAATCTCACAGGGCGTGTCCACGGCCGGTGGTTGCAGATACAGACAAGAAGTACCACCGGGCCAAGATGGGCGTCTAGATGTAAATACAAACTATGGCATACGCAAGGCTTTACTTCCTCAGGTACCAAATAATGGCCTCATGTTTTTTCTTTTCTGGTTTCATTTTTCAATGTAAAGTTTGTTAAACTAGGCAACCAGTATTGCCAATATATTATATATCATATGTCAGATACAGTAATGAAGCTAAAATTACAAACACAATCTGATACTAGGACATGTTGTAAATTTAGTATGAATGCAATCCTAGGCACAGCAGTTGGTTGTATCGTTTTCTTTGCCGAACTAGAAGTAGTATATGTTTCTGTCTGTACATGAAACAGGGTGAGAGAAAATATATGCCTCTTCAACAACCTACAGCTCAGCAAGTGATGAAAGATGCAGTATCTGCAGGTCCCATCACTGTGTTTCTTATGGGCGCTCACACAAATTTAGCCATTTTTCTTATGTCCAATCCTCATCTGAAGAACAATATTAAGCATATATATGCTATGGGAGGTGCTATTAGATCAACCTGCTCCGAAAATGCCACCTCCTCCGAGGCAGGGCTGTGTGGTGACCTCGGTAATTTGTATTCACAAGACAGCAATCCATACGCAGAGTACAATATCTTTGTAGATCCTTTTGCTGCATACACGGTATATATGGTTGTTTGCTGACCATTCTACGCTGGACTAAAGTTCATAGTGACTGAATATGAGCAATGATTTATGACCAAATCAGGTCTTACATTCTGGCATTCCAGTCACACTCATTCCTCTGGATGCAACAAGAACGATTCCTGTAGATGAGAAATTTTTCTCAGCATTTGAACAGAAACAAGAGACATATGAGGCACATTACAGCTTCCAGTCCTTAAAAATGATTCGTGATACATGGCCTAACAAAGAATTTCATAAGGTAGTTTCCTATGATATCTTGTGCTTCTATGTATGAGCTAAAAGTCTGCAGTTCTGCCCTGATTTTTATATCAAGATGTTTGTCTAACTCAGAAATATATTAAAGAGACTTTGACTATTTGCAGGAATTTTGCATGTGGGATTTTTTCATGGTTGGAGTAGCGTTATCTCAAATGCAAAGTTTAGAGAGAGATGAGGGAGAAAATGAATTTGCTAAAATGGAATGGAGGAACATATCAGTGATTACTTCAAATCGACCTTATGGAATTTCAGATGGCTCAAATCCTCTTATTGATGGGCGTTCAATCCCAAAGTTCAATGTACAGAAGAATGGGGTGCATAGTGGTCATGTTCAGCTGGGAATCCAAGACCCGTTTTGCCTTGTCAAAGGGAGAAAAGGAAAATGTCAGGTGCGGTACACTAGTTTTCTTTCTTATACATTATTCATATCTTGATGACTTTAGGCCTCAAAAGATGTATTAACTAACTGAATTTCAGACAATACTAACAGGATGGTTACACAAAGGAGGTAAATGGTCCTGAAACAGTTAGTGTTCTTGTTGCAACAAAAGCTAAGGCAAATCGTGACGTTGACAGCATTCTTGCCAAAGAATTCTATAAAAGTTTCTTGGATGTAAGCTAGTTTATGATTCTATCAACTTTGGCCCAATCCATGTTCTCCTTTCCATTTATATGACATACAGAAGTTATGTTCTCTCCTTGTGTAATGCATGTTCTGAGTGAAATTTCCTGTAAGACATACAAGTTACACGCAGATTTAGATTTGTCGCAACCTGTCTACAATACATGGTGATAGGCTTACGAGCATTATTTGGCGATTGGCTTTTGCAGGATCCTATTTTGTCTTGGCTACAGAATGATAATTTCAATTAATGTGTCAAATGCAGGTTATAAATCGACCTAAGCGAATTGGACAGCTTAATACTCGAGCAGGGTTTCCACCCTATCAGAGTGTACTTCAAAAACCAGATTTTGGAAAGGAATTGATGAGTAAACCCGTGGTTTTTGATATGGATATGAGTGCTGGGGACTTTCTAGCTCTTCTATATCTCCTAAAATTACCTGTAGAACTGATCAACCTCAAGGTATTATACTGCCATTGTAGGCTTTGTCAAGCTTGGTGCTACACATGCATAAATACACATGAATAGCCTGACTGAGTAGCTTTGTGGGGCCTCATGCTAGCAAAGTAGCAATTACACATTTTGAATATGATTAATAATTATTTATATGATAGGAGTCTGCTTATTGCTTCCAAGTTCAACAAACAAGCCTTGAAGGATATTGCTATTGCACACAATGATGTTAATGTAATTTTATCAATACTCAGAAACTCTTTTTTGTTTGAATTTTCAATGTTATCCAGGGAATACTGGTTAGTGCTAATGGCTGGGCAACTGCTGCAACCATAGAAGTTGTATATGACATACTGCATATGATGGGCCGTGATGATATTCCAGTTGGTCTTGGAAATGTATTTGCAGTTGGTCAATCTCATTCAGAGTTCCCTTCTCTTGGAGACTGCTGGTACAGCAGCTCCATTCCTCAGGGTAGTGGTGGCTCCTTGGACTCTGATACACTCTATGGATTTGCTCGTGACTTACCTCGCAGTCCTAGAAGGTATCACTGTCTGTTTAAACTAGTAGACAGCTAGTTACAATGATGTTGTAGACAAATGTTTTGTGTAAGATGGACAGCTTACATTAATGATAAAATGATTGGATTCTTCATGTCTGTTTCAGATACAGACCAGAAACCCCTGATTACCCTGGACTTGGACAACCGACTGCACTAGATGTTTGGAAGTCCATTGTAAAATCACTGCATCCAGGATCCAAGATTACTTTGTTGACCAATGGACCATTGACAAATTTAGCCCAAATCATTCTTTCTGAGAACACAGACTCAGTGGTCCAGGTAAATGTTGTCTATGTGGTCAAATGCTTATTGTGTAGCAAAGGAACTTGGTTTTTCAATGGTTGGGTAAGTTTATACCCAACTGAAATTTTTAGTGGTAGAACAAAACCAGACTATAAAGATGTTAACCTTCAATTTGCATGCCATGCTTTGATATCGGATGCTATTTTCATTGTCATGATTTTCTTGCAGGATGTATATATTGTTGGGGGACACATTCCCCACGATAATGAAAAAGGAAATCTGTTCACGGTCCCTTCAAATGAATATGCAGAGTTTAACATGTTTCTTGACCCTTTGGCTGCAAAGGCAGTTTTAGATTCAAAACTGAACATAACACTGATTCCATTGCGGATCCAGAAGCAAGTCAGTTCCTTCCAGAATATTCTTGTTGAATTGCAGCTAACAGATAAAACTCCTGAAGCTGCATTTGCCCAGCATCTACTTTCAAGGCTTTGGAAACTAAAACAGAATCATCATAGATACCTTCACATGGTAAAGTTCCATACAGTCAATTAGCTATCTAAAGAAGTCTCTTTTCTCCCATTATGTTTATCTGTCCATCTGGTTGAATTCAAGTTTCTTTCGTTCTGGACACATCTTCAACCCAACCCCTTAAAAGCCAAGCCTGACACGTGGACAATTTAATTGGGTGACGTCGAGCACGTGTGTGCTTGAATGCTTATAAGTTTCTGGTACACTGACATTGCACGAAGGGCTAGGGTACTTGAATGCTTCAATGCATGATACATTTTTCAACTCGCTTTCACTCTGAAGAACTTACATTTGTTTCCATTCTGTCATTTCACAGGATACATTTTTGGGGGAAATCCTTGGTGCTATAATCTTGGCTGGTGGTCATCCTCTATTAAACCAAACCTTTGAGTTTATGCCTCTCAAGGTGGTGGCTGAGGGAGATGTATCAATAATTGGGCAGCTGCTTATTGATGAAAATCAAACAAAGATGGTGAAGATCTTGTGCAGTATAAATCCAGAGGCATATTATGAACAATTTGCTAATATATTAGGAGCCAAACAGCTTTCTGCTGTTATAGCAAGCTTTGTTGAGGAAAAAGGAACATGGGCTACCCAACCAAATAGAACTTGTACAATTAATCACCTGGCCAACTGATGATGTTTTCTCTTGAAAATTAGGATCTGTTTAGTTATATTGTTAATTAATCTGTAAAATCCATCTTGAGTGTAATATGTTTGTGTTTCACAATGAATAAAACAAAGGAAAGTTAGAAATTTGATAATTATCTTTTTCCTTTTTTCCAATCTTGGTTTTCCCCTTGTTGTTTTTAGGTTACATTGGGAGGAAAGAAACCCTAGGGTTTTGATGCTGGGTGCCAAGCAAGGGGAAAGGGGGAGGGCCACAACCATTGTGGTAACCCCGCTAGACTGACTTGGTTTTCCCTTTAGCTGCAAAACAAACCAAGCACTAGAGAGTAACCTCATCTGATTGATTTTCCCTTTAGCTTACCAAATATTCTGTTTAGGAATTTTAAATTTGATTAATTTCAGTTAATCTTATAATAATTACAATTTACTCTCCTTCGTAACTCTCATTTTTATCCACGTTTTTTAGGTCATGGAATTATGTAGATTATTAGGCTGAGTTAATAATTGATATTATTATTGTCCATTCAAATGTAGGTGGTGCATATTGTCAACGTCTAGGGTTGGCTAAGTTGTTAAGAAATAGTACTTGGAGATTAGAAAGCATGGGTTGTTTTGAGGTGACTCTCTTTCTAATCCTGCTGCTTCCACAATCTATAATTATTATGGTTATCATAATTACTGATTGGAATTAGGAAGAGCCTTTACCAACATTGCACTTCATCCAAACAAGATTTAGAACACAATTCTGTTCATGACTCATATGTTATTGTGAGTTTTTTTTTATTATTATCAATATTTTATATAAAAAGAAGAAAGAAAAAAGGCATAAAAATTGGTTGGTTAAACACGAGGCAAGAAAAAACAATATTATATATTAGATACCCTTGGACCAAGAAGCATAAAATCATACATACAAACACAACACAGCATGCAATGCAGGTCTATTATTTTCTCATTAGTACCATCCAGTCCAGACTGTCCTGTAGATATCCCACGCCACATTAAAATACAGTTGACAGTAACTTGACCTTGAACTGCACATCTATCTCTTCATTCATTGAATGTAATATATGATCATGGAATGCTGATTTAATTAAAAATTAATACTGCTCATTCAACTAAATCATCCCAACAAAGTGGGCTTTTCTCTCCTTTTTCAATACCCTAATACGCTCGATACTCTTTTATATCGATAGGAGGGTGGAATCAAATTAACGACCTCTATATTGGAGAGAGAAGTATCACTGAATCAAGTTGTTGATCATAATATCCTCGATACTTGCAGATATATTCCTCATAATATGCTAATTAAATGTAAGCAAGAAAAAACATGCTAATTAAATGTAAGCAAGAAAAACCATGCTAATTAGTCAACAATATACAACAAATGGTTGGTAGAGAAACTAGCAATCTCTATGAAACTTTTTAAACTTGTGATAATGTGGCACATTCAATTTCATAATGATACAAACTTCCTCATAAATTTCCACAACCACACCACAAGTACTCTTCTTGCTCATGTACATTTGCTTTTGTGCCATCTACCAAGTCATTAACATGAATTATTATGCACTGATTATGAAACTAATTTTACCCAATTGCTTACTTGGGTGAATCCGAAAATTTTTTAACATAGAAAAGAAAGCAACTTTTCATTGCATTATCTATCAGATTTTGAGTAGTTAGTTTTCAGTGCTGCTTGTACTCAAAGTTACCACACTCTCTCCCACTCACTAGAGATTAAGTGCAGCTGGTAACTTATTGCTGTTTGGTTTTTGCGTAAGAAACTTTTGCCATAGAGAATAGAGATACTATTAAGAGGTAGAAATATTCATTCACATCCTTAACCATATTAACTCAGTTCAGCTTCTTTGAGCCCCAAGCAATCTGGATGCTCAACCAAATAAGAGATAAATAGAAGAGGAAACTAAAAAACAAGCTTCCACTGCAAATCTAGCTACGGACCCCCCACCCCCACAGTGTGCTTGCTTCTGTTATTTTATCTGCTGATAATAACTTCCCCACTGGGTTTCATCATTAAGCATCATTACCTTGGCAGTGGACCGCCGGCGGCCAAAAGCTGTTTCTGTAGCTGCATATGAACAAGAAGGACATCAAGGCTTTGAGACCAAGAGCTACCATGCATGCTTGTTTATGAAACAATTTCTTCTACTTACCTTGAAAAGAGTTTCCAGCTTATTTTTCACAAGAGAATACTCATGCTTCACATGCTGGAGAGACTTTAGGCACCTGCGGACCAATATTTTTCATTCAGATTTATATGAACATTTTCTAAAACTCATGGTTGTGAAAGACCAAATTTTATTTACCCTTCAACATTCTGCTCCTCACTGCAGTCACGAAATGCAATGCAGGCCCTCTGAACTCTCTGAACACCAATGCTGTTATTGCAAGAACCAAATTTTCTTCATGAAACACCAACAGAAGAAACATATATATAGACAAGAACAAGTACAACTAAAAAAAAGAGCTCTTTTTTTAGCTGACAAATACTTTGGAAATGTTATACATTTTAATGACTCTGGTGGTGAGTGAGCGATATTCTCAAGGTACATGCCTTCATGTGGGACAAAGTGGAGAAATGACTATCTTTCCAAGAAAACAACTTAAATATTTGGACTTTAGTATGAAAGATTTGCTGATATGACATTTCTGCTTGATGATAAACCCTCCAAATTAGCCAAAGGGAGCTTTGAGTCTTGCTTAAATTTTCATTTCAAAGCTGGAACTGTTGGAAGTCTTACTGGTCCAATTCTATGTTTCAGATATTTTCCAAGACAATTCCACTGAAATGTTCAATGGAAGTTTTGAATGTTTCAAATTAAAAGGATGTGTTTGCATCAAGCAGCAACTGATATGGTGATATCAAAGTGACTTGAAAGGTCAGAAGAGTGCTTCTTCCCATGCTGAACATAAGGGGGATGCATGAGACAGGTGCATTCTGTAAATATATGAAATAACCAGTAGGGACCTATAAAGGGAAAAATAACATATACCTGGAGCTGCTACCCTTCAATTGGTGAACATTTTTATCCACAAGTTTAAAGTCAACAGTCTGCTGATCTCTGCACCCAAAAATAAAGAGAAAATATAAAATATAAAAGAGACTAATAAGGCCCTGACTGTAAGTAGAACCATATATACCATACCAGGGCAAGAAAGTTACTTGAAAAAAGATAAATATTGGGAAAATTAATGATGAGAAAGCTTTAGTTCTTACAGAGCTTTGGTCAGTTCATCCACAAGCCTTTCAGAATCTTTAAAGAAAAGAGACACAACTTCAACTACAAAATCTGGGTTGTTCTCATCTTGCAGTTGCTGAAGCTGGTTGAACTGTTCATCCAGAAATGCCTTCAAACAAAAGAAAAACTTATCATAAAAAAAAAAAAAAAAAGAAGGAAAAAAAAAGAAAAAAAGAAGAAGCCAACCCAATAAGCTGAACAGAACAAACACACACAAACTTCCTATATCATCCAATATACTGACCTCATCAAACAGTGAAGCTGTGTAGTCAACCAACTGCTTCTGCAACTGAGACACACCATCAGCCATTGTTTCACTCTCAAGCTCCACAGCACTCATTCTTTTTGGTTTTGTGTTTTCTACAGATCTTATGGATTCATTGCACCTTCTTCCCCCTCTTTAAATAGAACAAACCCCAATGGAAGGGTTGCTTAATTTTTATTTTTATTTTGTAGACTGAGGAGAGGAGGGATGCTGTTAATTAAGATTCCTACCTTTGTGGGTTATACATGCATATACATGTATAGTACATGAAGTCACCCTTTCTGTTATTCCTTACTTGGCTACTAGCTAGCTAATTTTGTAATTCTCTTTTCTTTTTCTTTCTTTTCTCAACACATTATATAAGGTTAAGATAAGCACCCAACTTCTTTCCAAATTTAAAAAGCATCACAAGATCCAAAACCTGATGCCATGTACCTTCCCTTCTTTTTCTTTCAGTAATTATTGCTCTCTCTCTCTCTCTCTCTCTCTCAAATATATTATTTCATGGAGCTAGTTTTCTCTTTTGTTTTTCCTCTCCAAGGTGCTAACTTAACTTGTGTTTTTTGGGGGGGAGGGGAGGGGGAGGAGTGTGATAATTTCCAAGTCTGGTCCACTCTTGTTGTGGAAGTTTTCGCTTGTCTATTACTCATGAGTACCAAACTCATGTATAATTAATTAGCATAATATAAAAGTTATTTGGACAAATACAATCTTATTAGTCCAATAAAGCAAACATTTGAGATTCTTTTTTTTATTTCAAGCGATAGTCTAAACTACATATAAGGGAATTTCTCTCACACACACAACTATGATGTCGTGGGAATTTGAGTGCAAACATTTGAGATTCTATATACGAAGATAAGAGAGATTTTAGGTCACAAAATAATACTGGTACTCTTTTTAACCCAAGAGAAGCAGAAGCTATATTATTCGAGTGACATGTGATGGGAAAATGACTTCAGACAATTCTCCATCCATATCTTCTGGATTTTTATTTTATTTTCTGGGATAGACTTTGTCATCATAATAACAATAATAAAAGCGAAATTTTAACATTTCTATGTACAAAGAGTTAAGTTGGTATGGCATAATAAATAAAGTACTGAACTTTTCTTGTCTGATGAATTCTCAACGGGCATGTGATAGCCTTTTATTTTTACCCTTTTCTCAAAAAAAATAAAAAATAAAAAATAAAAATTTATGTTTACCCAGTCCTCCATCCATCCATGATCCGTCCACCTTTCTTTTTCATTCGTACCCCTTCACAATATTTAACGTTGATCTCTCAATCTTTTCGAGATTCTTTATAATTAAATCGATGTTGCTCTTGTCTTTGTTGGGTTGTTTGCGTTGTTGCTGTTTGATTGGTTGGTACATTCGCATCGATAATTGGTTAATACCAGGTAACTGAAAAGAGGGACAATTTAGCAGAGCTTAGGCCTCAGTGACCCCATTGTTTCAGAGTACTAAATTGGCCCCACTTCTTCAAGCTCAGTAATAACTTGGTTCATCTTTCTATTTTTGGAGGGGTAATTTGGTGAGGGTAATTTTTGCAGGCATGGGACACGTGTCAGAAGCTCAAAGCATTGTGTGTGTGGGGGGGCGCGCATATGGGATTTTTTTTTTGGACGAACGAATATGGGATTTTGGCTGCATTTGTTTGCAAATTGTCACAAATTTTGAGGCATCATTGGCGTTGGGTTGGGGAGAGGTTGGCATCTTACATGTAACATGTTGCTTGCAAGAGGCTGCGTTTGCATGATTGAATTCAAATGGGAAAATGATTTTTTTGTTAGGTTTCTGTGGGAAATGATGGGAATTTATAATAATAGCAACAAGATTTGGACCTTACTATTTACCCACTAGGGCAGTTCAAGATTGATGTGTGTTTCTTTTTTGTGGCTCAATTTGGATTGAGATCAATGTATGAGTTGTCACTCACAACCCTTATTGTTGATGATCAACTTTGTTGGGGCCTATGACTTCGGAGTTTGGATAAGCTTCCTTCATCTCATTGTTTCTTTGTTGAATTTTTGTTTTTGAGTCGATCTGTTATATCTTCTTATACCAATCAAACCAAATGTGATATCTTTTCACATATACAATTATCAAATTGATTGATGAATTACTGTGGGTCCTCGCTTAAATTACAAATCTTCTGTCTTTGACTCTTGACCTCAATTTCGTTCAACTTTGCTGACCAACAAAAACACTTTTTAGACATTTAGAACCATAAAGTAAAGAATGTTACTTTCAAGTACAGATGATTGAATTCTGATTATTCGTATATTGTAAGTCTCATATACATCAATAATTAGAATTAACTCATACGTATACGGGCGACTGAATTTAGCACTATCTCCGAATCAACCGCATGCTAAAGATACTGCCTCCACCACTATCTAAGGATGGCTTAGCTTAGGGATTTTATTTTACTTACTCGAGTCAAGGACAATAGAGACCACATGGGAAGTTACTCATATGAACCCACATTGAACATTGATGACGACAAATCCAAGACCTCAAACGACAAAAGCCGACCGTTTTCGTACCGACCGGGCATGCCATACTACCAACGTCACAGGGCCCAAACCAAACCAAAACCCAACCTAGCACCTTCTCCTCTCTTCTGTTCTGTATAGAGAGAATGAGATATTTAATCATGGCATTCAATCAAATTGGGTTCACATTTTTTCTAGGAGAGAGAGAGAAGGGACCACTGCCCCATTCTATTCTGTATTCTCTTCCTGTCTTCCTCTTGATATGATATGAAGGGCATCAAAGTGGGTCCCAAAATTTAATACCATCTTCAAACATGAATTCATATTAGCATGGTAGGCCACAAAATTACAAGAATGTGGCATGTTTGGTAGAATCCAAAGCCATGGATCAAGAAGCTTTTTTCCCTCAATGTTTTCTCGTTACTAGTACCAGTAAATATTGTACATCACATCTTTTGTATTTATGGCAAATATTCTCCTTGTTTGGGAAAATTTTGAAATTGGCCACAATTTTTTTGAACAATTTTGAATTTTTTTGAACATTTTGTCTTTCTTGAAAACACAACCACACAACCACAACCATATGCACGCCATAAACACACAAATTCATACATGTGATAATGTGCATTGTACGCATGTCTCTATTCTTATCCATTTTAAGTTGAACTTCTTTTTCTGTGTCTTTTAATTTCTAGTTCATAAGAAGCTAGGCAGTCAATAATGTTCACATGCCTTTAGTTTTAGCCAATGAAAATTGAAATTATAAACTGACAAGACTGGAACCTAAGAAGCCAATGCCAATTAAATCAAATCCTCAAAGGCATTATAGGAAATTTTTTGTACAACTCCTATACCAAAAGAATGATGCTTGAATTGAACCCATATACAGAGATTGAATTAGAAAGCTCCAGACAATGAACTAATCACAAAAGCAAGGAATGCAACTTGTACAGTTATAATCTCTCTTTAGATTTTCACTTTATTCTTTTTTTTTTCCTTTTGTTTGAAGAATGAACAATGTTACGCATCACATAAAGAACCTGTCCACACAAATCATTTCTATTATGGATCTCAATTTACAACATTTACATGAGAATTAGAAGGGGAGGTACCAGGCATTTGCCCCAGCAGCAGCACCATGACGAACCAAAGATTAAGTCAGTAGCATCTCCATCGTTGAAAAGAAACAACTTCAATTCTGAAACTTCATCAATTAAATTCCACACCAGCATTTGGCTGAGGTTTGGCCAATCTTTTTTTAACCTTTTGAAAAATAAGAAAAGGTCTGATTACTTTGCTAGAATTTGAGCACTGAAAGGTACATCATCCTGCAACAGAGTATGGAAACGTCAATGGATAGCCATTCCACTTTTCCAACATAGAATCATATGTCACATGCTATTCCCAACCGGTTCCATTGATACTATGTCCAAACTTATTGTTCATAAAAATCCAAAAGCATGTACAAAGCAGGATCATTGCGAAAGTGTTAGATAGCAGGCATGCGACGCCAATATGGTATCAATGAAATCCAGTAAAATAATAATTGATTACGCCACATTTGACAATGCTAGAAAACACAATAAACAAGTATAGCAGGGGTCAGCACTCAAGCAGCATTCATCTTTTATGTAAATATCCAAAAATAAGGAAATTGAATATAAAAGTGAACAAGTGGTACATGTTTATGGTCCTACCTTCCTCTGAGAAGGCAAATATACCACCAAGCATTTCATCACTGTCACCAACTTCCTCGCATTTCCCCCTATCACGGGGGCTGCTGCTATCCACATCAGTTACAACTTCAGTTGATTCACGAAAGTTGCTCAGAGGCGATGCTTTACAATAGCCCTCATGGAAAAATTGCTCAAAATCCAGCGATTCTTGTACTGGTCCCTCATCGAGGATGTTCATACTCAGATCAGAACGGTTAGAACTTATATTGGAACCTTCACTGGCCCCACCACTATTCACCGACTGAACCTCTTTTGCAAAAGTTCTATCGGCTGAAAGGGAGCTGGTCGTTAAAGTGGATAGACTATTTGAATAATTACTATTCTCAACAAGAGAAACACCTGAGATAGGTTGTTTCGAAGATATTAACATAATATTTTTGTTTGTGGAGCTTTGGTTCAGTAGAGGTGAGTCAGGTGACACCAAAAAAGATCTCCCTCTTTTTTCGCCATTACGTCCACTCCCGGGTTGGTGAATGGGTGGATAAGAATCACCTAACAATTCATTAAAAAAATAAAAGTGGCATTAGAAAGTCCTTCTACTGATAAAACAATGATATTACATCATAAACACTTATCTTACCAACATCTGGGTTTTCAGCTGAGCCAGTAGGTGCCACCTTGTCATCAGAAATACCACCCTTATCCTGAAAGTTTTCTTTAGCTTCATGAGAATCAGAAGATGAACTTGAGTATCCTCCAACTACACGCCTGCATAAAGCACCCAAAAAAACTAATTAGTGGTTAATATATTCAAAAGTTATTTTAGTTATACTATTGAGTTAATAATTTGGAAACACCAGGCTCACGGAACATACAAGCCTCATGAGACATGTAAGTTTGGACAATTTAAAGAACACAATAAAGGTCGTGTTAAAAAATATGAACAGTCCATTTTTCTTCATCTTCCATATAAATTAGGGCCGTAAAAATATAGCTTTCCAGAAAAAGTCATCAAACCATACAGAACCACCATCATCAGAAAAAAGTCCTCATAAATACAGATTTTCAGGGAAGTAATAACCCTCAACAAGCAAGAAAAAGAAATATAAGATGGATCCATATGAAATGCTACAGAACGAATAAAGGCACAAATTCATTTCCATGTTAACATAAATAATAATAGCAAGGATACCACAACTTGATGAATACAACAGCTAAATTACCTGCCACTCCATTCAGACTGAAATCTATGAAAAGGATGAACAACAGGTAGCAAATCCTTCCGCCTAATTTCCACCTCGTGAACAGGAACCTTCTCTATTTCCATCTCTCCTCCAGTAAGATCCTTAGTGAAATTTAGCTCACTAGCCCCCAACGGACTCATTGTATAGAAATATATCTAACAAATAAATGAAAGGATCACAAACATATTTAATAATGCTGACAATCAAAGGGATCTCACTGTCAAAATATAAAAGGTACCTTAGACTTTTGCCAGATTGGAATCCTTCCAGAATTGATATGAACCTCAGCGTTGGAGAGATACAAGTGAGATCGCTCAAGGGGTTTTACCAACTCCTTATCCCCAATATCATTGTCATCACATTCAGAACTATCCATGACTGTCTCCACATATTCTTGTTTCCCAAGCATAATCCCGGAAATGCATTCCTCTCTTTCAGGCCAATCATTTCTTCGGCAAACATCCCACCATTGAAGAGGCTCAACTCTCACTCGCAAATCTTCATCCTGTATCTGCACTGAAGAACCTGGCCCTGTTCTTGAAGCAGCTTCACCTGGCTCTCCCCCCACTGATGGAAGTAGTTTATATTGAATTGCATAACCAGAAGGAGTGTAAACCAATAGGTTCTCCAAAGCAGTGACCTTCGCGTGAGAAGATTGCAGATCATGAGGTAAAGAACTATGGAATACAGTGGCAACAGCCCCAGACGGAATGGAAGCCTTTCCTGCTGCAGAAGATGCAGCATTACTAACTGTGTTGAGCCACCCGGAGTTATTATTCTTTATTCTGCTAACCACAGAAAGGGTAACTGCCGGTGGTGGAGAAAAAGGTTGCTGATTTGTCATGAAATAAGGAGTAGACCACCATGGTGCAGATGGAACTGGTGAAAGAGTAGGCCCATCAACATGAGAGTTCTGAATTTGAAGAATTGTGTCACCACCAAAGGGGGACAAAGCAAAAATATGGCAAGTCCCCCTGGATGAAACAATTGCAATCCATTGACTATATTGACTAAAACAGATGTCTTGGATCACCTGTATAATAAGCACAAGGAAAAACAAAGCCCAGATCAACATATGAACATAATAGAAAGAGCATAAGAGAACCCATTTAAAGGCCAAAACGTACAGCAGATGTCATGCCACGATGTAGCTTGTAAAGGTGCACATGAGAAGAAGTCCAGTCATAGCTTTGAGTGCCTGATCCATTATGCGAGCAGGATGGCATTATTCGAAAAATGTTGATATTGTTTCCATGTATTGAGGCGGTAACAAGAAGAGTCCCACTTGGGTCAAAACATAGAGCAGAAATGGGACTAGTATGTGCCCTAAATTGTGATACAACAGCTCTGGAAAGAAAGTCTTTTACAACAACCTGCAAAGACCATTTTGAGTAAGTAAATATGCTTCAATCAGATTTGCTGAACGTAATAACGTAAAACATTGTGACACTATAAAAACCAACCACATCCCGCTGTTATTTAGTATCGGGTTTTTCTAAACTATTGAGCAATAGTAAAAAATAATAGTAGTAGTAGTAGTAATAATAATAATAATAATAATAATAATAATAATAACTATTGAGCAATAGTAAGTACGTGGTAGATTCTTAAGCTCACCTCAAACAGATTGTCTCAAGGAAATGGAATTTATAACTCAAAATATAAATAATAAATCCTTTCTTTTTTATAAGTACGCTGTGAAACAATGATGATTCCAGTGTAAGATTAAAATATAATTTTCAGCTAGAAAGAAAACTTACCATTCCAGCAATATCTGTTTCTGTTGAATGTGATGCAACCCTCCCAACTTTCCAGCTAGAATTTGATGACACAGGAGAGCTGGAACCATCGGGTATAAACTCTTGATAGTACTTGGACAAGGTTTTGTAACCCATGTCTCCCAGATTCAGTAAACCGGTTGCTAACTGTTTACTAGATTCCATTGCATATCGAGCCATCAGACTCCCACTGCTTGGTGAAGTTGATGGACTAACACCTGGAGGAGTAAGACTTTGCGGACTGAGGCGACCTGTGTTTGACAGCAGAGGGTTGTTGGAAGCATAAGCCAACCACCTGGGACCAACAGCCATGGGACCATATCCAATATTGACCCCAACCAGTCCTTGAACTCCCAACTGGGGGACAGGATAAGTAAGGACACTGAATTTGTTCTCAAGAGTGACAGCATCAAAGCAGTATATCTGCCAACAAACAGTTGGAAAACAAAAGGAACTTAAGCCAGGTTCGAATACTTTTCATTACCTATTTAGTCATATGAATTACATAACATTCATATTTAAACGATGTAGCTTCTGCAGTGAATGTCTGAAACCAGTAACCTACAACCATCCAATCTGGTTCTTCTGGTTTATTAAAGGAACATGGTGAACTTTCCACACACACACACACACACACAAAAAAACATCTATAAGATGATACAGTTATTCAGCCTCTACAGTTTGGCTGGAAGGAGAAGAGAAAAAAAGTAAAGCAATGCATTCCCAAATGCATATAATAGTAATGAATACTTGGGATAAGTTAATGCTTACTTGTGATGCAAGACCAATGGCTACTATTTGAGGACTGCATCTAACCATATACACAGTTGAACGGAATCTCAGAACATGAACATAATTGCAAGACCTTAGCGAATAAAACCGAACAGCTGTAGGAGACAAAGGAGAGTTTCCTGTTTGAGGCTCAGTATGACCATTGACCAACCCCTCTCTCCCTGTTTGCATCATACCTGAGCTCTTTGATTCATCACAAGCAACAACCATGAGTAAAGGATGTGAAGATCTGAATCCTTCCTGACCCTCACACTTTGCAGGCAGGGGTTGCATCTGTAAGAATGTAACTGGATCATCACGCCTCGATGCAAGTTCATTGACATTAGAGGCATCTTCAACATCCAAGACTTGAAAGCCATTGGAATAACCGAGTAGTAGAACATGTTTGAAGGAAGATGGACCAAGCTCTACTCTGTCAAAGCAAGCCCACAGCACCTGTTTGCCACAACAAATTAAACTACACTGATACATCGAATCTAATAACAGATTGTACACAAAGAAGTTACTCAAACCCATTAAATCAATTGCATTTCATGTATGTTCTTGTTGGTTCTATATCATAAGGCAAACAAAGCATTTGACTGTAGAAAATGTTGAAAGTGTACACACTGGCTCTTACAACTTCCAGTTTTTTTAAAGCAATGCCACACTAATTCCGTGCCTCACCATTTTACAACCATCCACAGCTCACATTTACTCATACATCTCACAGTTTAAACATATACCATCATCATACAGAAAATTCCAGGTTTCCAAAATCATGTTTTTGTTATATTTTGACTTCTATCTTAGAATTTGGACACAATATACTCCAGGATTTCTTACATGTATATGCTAGGTTTGAAATGGTAACGGTCTACTGGACATTAATTGGATGATTGTTTCAATGAAAAACATCAAAACCTCATGGACAGGGTACATAATAATGTTCCACAATATCCATATCCTTCAGACAGCATAAGATTATCAATTTGATCACCATCAATAAATAATAATGGCCGCCATCATCCAAAAATGATATTACCATTCAACATTCTTAAATTTCCCCGGGCCATATCCATATCCAATATGATCCAATATCAACATTCTCAGATTATCAATTTGATCACCATCAATATATGTCTGATCATAAATTGGCTGTATTTCAACTTCTTTATTAATTAATTAATCAGGACTTCATTTATTCCCATCCTCAAAATACTAACCACTCTAAAACATCAGTTCTGACAAGCACAACAATTAAGTTGGAGTGTCCACTTTCGAAAACACTCAATTTCACATGAAGCACAACAGCCAAGCTCTTCATTCATTCTCCGCCCTCATTATCCGACCAACCAAACATATTTAAACTGAAGAAAATTCAATTTCACGAGCCAACCATTCACTCCAAATGAAAATTCAAAATCCCCTCACATTTCAATTGTTCTCCTTCAATTTTCTCAACAATCGAGCACAAAGCTTGAGCTCTTCATTTCACTCTCTGCCAAATTAAATCACATTAACTCAAAAAGAAGACAAAAAAAGAAAACTCAAAACTCCCTCACTTTCTAATTGTCTTTCCCTCAAATTTGCCTCAGCAACTAAACACAAATAACTAAGTAAAAATTAAAATTTCGTTTTCATATCCTTTATCCTTCAATTTTACCTGTTACCAAACAAAAAAAACAACACAATTTCCCGAAAATCAATTGCTAAACCTGTTCTCCAATTCCACAAACTTCCTAATCAAGGAACATGCAAATAAACAAATTTTAAAATTTTTAAAACGAAATTAAACCTGGTCGCGGCAATCGTGAGGATCAGCGGAGATGGAGGCGGCGACGGAGGCGCCGGCTGACCGGACACCGGAAGAGGCTGTTTTAATGCAAGAAGAAATGAATTTCAGAGAATTAGGAAGGAAGCCATTAGTATTGCTATGATGGTGATGATTAGTCTGAACAAGCTTGCTATTATTGTTGTTCTGGTTCTTCTTCATAGTCAGGCAATAAGAGCCCGGGGAATGCAACCCGCCACCGGAGAGTTACCGCGAGTGGGAGGAGTGGACCCCACCGCCGACGACGGTCGCCGACTTAAGGCGATCAGCAATAGCATAAGATAGTTGGGTGAGGAGGAGGGGGATTGGAACGGCGTCGTTTTTTACGGAGGGAGGGAAGGTGGTGGTGGTGGTTGAGTTTTGACCTTGGAAGGCTTTGAAATGGAGACGGTTCGTTTCGGTTTGTACTGGAAATGTGGGTTTCTCTCTCTCCCTCTCTCTATCTGGCTTTTTAGTTTTGTTTTTGCTTTAGACTCCCTCTCTCCCTCTCTCTCTGTGCTTGCCTGGTGTTAATTGCACTGTAAGCTAATTTGGGGAAATGTTGAATGTATCCCAGTAGGATTTGGATAATCTCGTTGGTTCCCTATGGAATTTACTGACAATTAAAATGAAAACGAAAATGGTTGCAAATTTACGATTTTACCCTCACGCGTATTTCTATTTGAAACAATACCCTCTAAACATGAGTTTAAACCAGTTGGTCAGAGTAATGAGATGAGATCCTTTACACCAAAGTTTGAATTTACTTCTTGTCAATCATATTAATGTAGGCTATCGTTTGTATTAAAAAAAAAAGGAAAAAATATATCTTTCGTGTGTTAATTTTGTTGTTGTTGTAGTTGGAATTTTTCATGTTTTCTATTGGGTGAGAAATTCTTCATTCATATTTATCCATTTAATCTTGTATAGCCAAAAAAACAAAACAAAAAACATGTATTGGTAAATGATAATTGATTTAAAACTTTCCTTATCTTTTTACAGAAATTCATAGATTAGTGAGTCAATGTATCAACCAAAAAAAAAAGATCTAAATTTCCCTTGATATAATATTTAATCCAGAATTGAAGAAGTTCCCATATTTAAATTTTTTAGGAATTCGTTGTTTTCTCCCTTTCTTGAATCACATAATATGGGGTCAAACTAGTCTTTTTGAATCTTATTTGAAGCATTGAAGGCCAATTAGGGTCAATATCAGTATTTGATGAAAGTGTTGGGGGCCAAACGGGATTAGTGGGAACTCTCGGGGAGACCTATGATATTATAGACATAACGTAAGGAATAATATAATTTGAAAAACAGGGGACATTTGGTTCCTTTACGACAAGGGACGAGAATATCTTAAGCCAAGATGCGGAACACAACACGTTTGTTTCTTTTTGTTTTTGTTTTTTTTCAATGGACAACGGTGATATGATTATTTGCTGTCATCTCTTAACAGGAAAGAAATCTGAGATTGACTTTTTTTTCATATATGAAAATTAATCTAAAGTAGAAAAAGTACCAGATTATTATGTTGGGCCAGTTACATTTTGGATATGGACCTTTTTTAACGACCCACCCCCAATGAGAAAAAACAACCAACTCTTCAGACCAAAGAACAAATATTTTGAACCTAAAAAATCCATTAAACAAGCAAATATTAAGTAGAGTTGAAGAACTCATCCCATGAGGCTCAAATTTTTCTTCCAAACAAAGTAAAAATCCAACAAGTTTGAGCAATGGAAGAACAAAAGCGGTGCCATTCGGGTGTTCATATGGAAAGGAAAAACCTTTTTTTTTTTTTTTTATGATAGACAGAAGCCACCGTTTCAGCGATGAGAGAGTGCTTTCAAGCACCATGAAGATCAATATAAAACCAGTTGACTTCCATGGGACTTGCAAGCACCCCCAGAAAAGAGTCTATGAGAACTGCTATAATTAAACATTGTTCAAATATTCTCTCCACCTATAATCTATTTCAAGAACCAAAAGCAACCTGCTTGTGACGGTTGAGATCGCCCAGATACTTGGTTGAATTATATTCTTGTGCATCCAACAGTTCTTCCGAGTATGTTCTTTGATGAGACCTCCTTTTCGATTCTTTTGCGCAGTTCGATACGTATTCATCACCTCTTAGAAGTACCACAATCTGCACCCAACCAAAGAATTGTTCATCAATCTGCCATCCCATACAATACATTTTTCAAAGCATCTAAAGGGTAGGTAGTATGAACTCCTTCCTAATCCTTCTTTTTGTTTTCTTTTGGTTTAAATGCAGTTACAATTTTATAGTCTGCCACAACACAATGTTAGATCACATTCAGGCCAGTCATATTCTGCCATAACTTCTTCTGATTGTGAACTTACACAAACCATGAAAATATGAAGCACATAGATATGCATCTTTAATTTGTACTTGCCTGACTCATTCGCGGACGTAAAATAGAAGACTGCTCAATGCATAAAGATGCAGTCAAAACCACATGATCCATCTCTTTCTGGTCATAGTTGTCACCAATCGAAGGATCAACAAGCTCCTTGATCTCATTGTTATCAAGCAAAGGCTTTGCCTACAACAGAGAAAAAAAAAATTAAAAAGGGAGCCAGGACTTGTATATATTGACATCATGAGATGATATGTTTCAAACTATGCAGAAGCAAATTTACCCAAATTACAACACTTTTCTGAGAAACATCCAGAGCTGGACGCCCGCTGATAAGCTCCAAAAGTAGGACTCCAAAAGAATAAACATCTGTTTTTTCATCAACTATTCCATGCATGAAATATTCAGGGGCAAAATACCTGCCATTTAAGGGTATAATGAAGAAATTGAACTATAAAGAGCGTTATTTAACTGTAAAATGACACAGGCTACCATACATACCCGAATGTGCCCTCAGATTTTGAGACATTGTGATGAGTCCATTGTTTGGGTAGCCACTTTGCAAGCCCAAAATCACATATCTGGTATAAATTGGCATACTGATCAGTAAGTCAAATTTAAAGCGATAAACAAAAACGAGACATAGTTTAGTAGTGTTAATTGTTCTTTGCCAATACGAAAGAGGCAATCATCATTCACAGTTTTCTACATTGCCATAACTGTTTGTTATCCTTGGCTACACGTTATGATAAAAACAAACCAACAGCAGAAAGAGGAAATACCTGAGGCACAAAATCCTCTGTAAGTAGAATATTATCAGCCTTAATATCTCTATGAATGATTCGCCTCTGACAACTCTCATGAAGATACAGCAGACCATCTGCTATCCCCAAAGCGATTTTATATCTTTTACTCCAATCCAGTTTGTTAGCCTTCAGACCTGGAATACGCGGAATACTTAAGAAATCCATAAAAGTTTAAATTAAGAACATGAATTTACAAATTGTGATCATACCGTGCAGGAGAGATCCTAAACTCCCAAGTGAAGATAATTCAAAAACAAGGTGCATTCCTCCTTCAACGCAACATCCAATTAACTTAGCAGTGTTAGGATGATCTACGTGAGCTATAATGCCAAGTTCAGATAGAAAGCCTGCTGTTTTCTCATCTGATGTTCCTTTAGTCAGCCGCTTTACTGCTATAAGCTGCCCATTTTTCAAACAACCCTTATAAACTTCGGAATAGCCACCCTTACCAATTGTATTTTCTGCAAGAAATAGGAACCACGAAGAAAATATCATAATCAAGATGAAAAATAAGACTTCCATTTGAAGTTTCTATATGGATTAAATTCAAGTCAGTAGTCTTGCATTTGCAGTTTTGTAAATTCTGCTATAAATGTGAAACAAATGAGTCTCATATTGGATAGTAGGTTTAAATTTGTGGACGAAATTACTGACCATTGTTAAAATTATTGGTCGCCCTTTGGAGGTCAGAGAAGGTAAAGGTCACCAGCGAAGACTTGAAGTTGTATATATTAGCTAGTCCTGGATTCTCTCTTGCACTCCTGATCCTTCTTCTTGATGATATCTTTGGCACGCCAAGAGGAGGGAAGGAGGCTAAGCGCTTAATTGATCTTTTACTCCATGATTTAAAAAACTTACGCCAGTGAGAACGTGAACTTGAATTTGGACAAGGAGCTTCTGATTCTGTTGTGCTGTTTTCAGAAACACTAGTTTCAGATTCAAAGCTTCTTATGCAAACTTCTAAAACTCCTCTAGGAGTTTGGGCATCTTCTTTCTCCTTTTCTATGTCCAAACATCTCAAATCTACAGAGAAGAAACCAAGCATTATGACAGAAGAATTAGAACATGGAAACAGACAAACACAAAGAGGAAAGGAAGTTGCCTTGGGCAGAAGCACAAGGAAGTAGAACACCTCTTCTTTTCTGCTTCACCTTAGAAACCTCGTCTGGTGCCTTCACCGTTAAGTTTTCAGGATCCTTTCCAGCCCCCCTGGATAGAAGTAAATCAAAATGTTGGCAAAGAATCTATAATCACAAAAAATGAAGGAAGTGAAAATCAGAATCTGCATCTCTGAAAGGGCAGATATAAGCCAGCCATCACGGCTCTAGTGAAGGATTAAAAAGGCTAAGACATTCCCTTAAAAAGTTATTTCCTCAATTTCAGACTCAAAATCAATATATCATCCACCACTTGAAACAGGACAGGAAAGGTACAAGAATTTCCAAGGGTTCCTAATACTGAATGATGCTGCAAACTTGCCAAAGTGCCAGAAAGGAAAGAGATTTATGCCATTCTTTGCCATTGCACAGACATTGAAAATCCAAAAGATCGCAAGCCAAAAAACCAATAGAAAAGCTTAGAAAAAGGATAAACAAAAGAAAGAAAAATCATCTCAGTTTTGCAGAAAAGACCACAGCTTTTACATTGGCATACATAATCCACAAGACCCACAAGCTGAACCTCAACATAAAACATTACAAAATGGTAAAATTTTAAAAACATGAAGGTATAAGGTATACCCAAATGAGAGAACATGAAGGAGAAAGCACACATACCATAGACAATAAGGTCCCTGCTCTTCACCATCCGCCATGAACACTGTCATAAACCAGCAAGAACCACTAGCCTGGCCAAGCAAAATACAAAATAGTCTCAACAAGAAGGCCCTGCTAATCTCTCTTTTAAAGGCAAAAATATTTTATTTTTCTAAAGCTACAAAATCTTCTTGTTATTATCCATAAGTAAAAGAGAAGGGAATCTAGAAACTAAATATGGAAGAGCCTCGCATTCATTATTGTCTTAAGTTTGTTTACTCTTTCTCTTTCCTTTTTCACACTGTTTTCTCTCGCTTTCGTTGAATTTTTTACATCGGTCCGAAAGAGTCGCTGCTGCGTCGAACTGGATTACTGACAAGTGTTCAAAGCTCGACAGCGACTTCTGCTCTCAACCTTAAACCGAGTGAGAGAAGGTTTCAGAGAGAGAGAGAGAGAGAGAGTGGACGTTGGTCGTGGTTTGATTAAATTCTTGCGTCTTTCCACAAATTTAATATGTTGGCCTTGGTTTGTGAGACATCCTCACTAATTTGTTGGCACAGTTAAAATGCCAAGCTTTTCAATCTTGGGCT